ATTAATAGCCAATATATGTTTAAGAACGCACGCAGCTGCAGCTCAACAATTAAGGAACACAAGGTAGCCAATAAGCGGGCGGATGCGAACAGACGATTCTCCCCGGAGGCGCTGCAGGAGGCGGAGAGGGCCCTGCTCCTCCTCCCCGCCCAAGAGAGACCCGCTCAGAGCCACAACGAGACATGCCTCACGCATGTTAGAAAAACCCCAGCAAGTGCCTGGAGGGTCAGAGAGGAAGCTGGGGGGGTCACTGGTGGGGGGTCAGCTGTGCAGCGCTGACCCAGGAAACCCAGGAAACCACCTGGATTCGTCTCACAAAAGCAAACACTGGGAAGGCTGTCTGCGCGGCCACCCCACCCTGGGCACCACCCTCGGGACACGGACCGTCCCACGGAGCCCAGCTGCCGCCCGCTGTGCCAGCGGCGTGGGTCACCGGGGCCAGCACATGGGTGCAGCCGGCGTGTCCACCTGCGGATGACGGGATCAAGAAGATGAGGACTGTCCACACCACAGAGAACCACGTGCCCACAGGACAAGACCGAGGGCAGGCGTCCTCAACAGGCGGGGCGCGTTTGAGAGGATGAGGTGCAGTAAAGCAAGTCAGAGGGATTAAAAAATTGTGGCCATTACACAGCAGGCAAACCCTAAAACACCTTCCAAAGCCCAGGGGAGCCCCAACAAACACTGTGAGGACTCTGAGGCTGGGGGAGCAGGAGGGCAGGGACAAGGGCGGGTAAGGAAATGTAGGTGGGGTGAGATAAGCACCAAGGAGCCCTCACAGATGCCTCGGAGGTGCCGGGACCGTGCTGGACACGGGTGCAGAGAAGGTTCGAGGCTCTTCCCACAAGAGGCTGACGGTGTGTTGGGAAGCAGATGCAGGAACAATTAGGTGGCAAGGTGGTGGGACGGGCACACGTGGCAGGTGCAGAGCAGTGGCAGGAGAGACTGTACCCAGATGGGGGTGGCCAGAAGAGGTGACTTGCTGTCTGTTCTCAGGTGACGCCAATGCAGAGCCATCACCCCAAGGTCCTTGAGCCTTCCCTTTACTTCTGCGCACTGGACACACCACACGCTGAGCTCTCCCCAGACCCACAACCCCGGGCTCGAGGCCCTTGGCAGACACCATGACAGAGACCCTGGGGGGCTCTCCATGGCGGACACCACAGCGGGGGATTATTCCAAAAGCCAGAAAATCGCGCCATTTAAAATGCAGAAGAGCAGAACCAGAGCCTGCGGCCTGGACTAGGCGCCCACATCCTCAGCGGAGCTGGGACACCAAGTGCTTCCATTTTCTACCATCAGACCTACCGCCTGCGGGGTCTGTCGCAGCCAGACCCCCACACTCGTGGTGCCGAGTCTGCAGAGCAGCCCTAGGAGGAAGATTTGATTATCTCCAATCATTCATGGATTTGTGGATAGGAAAATGGAGACTCCAAATGGCTAAAAGGTGAACCCAATGTCTGCCAAAAATTCAAACCCAGAAACCTTGGACTGCGAAGCCCAAGCTGCCCCATCTCGCGCCCCTCAGGCGCCCGCCTGCTCCCGCAGGTCTGCTCCTGCCCAGCACGGCCTTGGAGACCCCAGGCAAGGCCCTCGGTGAGACGCCAGGGCAGCCGAGTCACCCGTCCTCCTGCCCCTGCACAACTGTGTGGGCTCTGACACGACTCCTGCTCAGCGCCCAGGCGCTGCCGTCTGTCCGCTGCTGATGAGGTGCATCTGCCAGGATCAGAGCAGCCTCGGGGCCTGACACCCTGGGGTGCTCGCTCTGTCTGCGCACCGCTGGGGGTGCGCCGGCCTCTTCCCTGTAAGTTTCCAAGCGCCCTGCTGGGGAGAGAACCAGGGGCGCTTCAGCTCCGGACGCTGCCAGTCCCAGGGGTCTCAGCTTTTGCCTCCGGCTGCACTTGGGCTCCCGCGCCCTCGGGGAGGCTGTCTGGGCTCCCTCCTCCAGTCAGGGGTCTGCAGAGAGTGGCTGGAGGGGAGGCGGGGCAGGCGGGGATGGGGAGGTGGGGGGTGCTCTGGCGGTTGCCTCTTAGAGGGTCTGAGTCCCGGCCCCCGGGGCCTCACGAGCAGGCCCCAGTTACCTCCCTCTGTGGCCACAGAACATCAGCGGCCGGGGCGTCCCTCCTCTGTGGACGAGGCCCGGTGAAGTCCCTCCCGGAGACAAGGCTGCGGGGCCAGGGCCTGTCGCTGCCACTCTGCTCTGCACCAGGAGGAACCCTAGTAGGCGGGGAGCCCTCCTGGGGCGCACCTGGCACTCAGGTGACGTCCCCAAAGCTTTACACACGTCCAGCCGCTTCCTCAGTTCCCCACCAGCGCCTTCTTCACGCCTCCTCTTTCAACACCTGCTGGGCCCTCCCTGGGTCTTCCTGTCCTCCCTCCTCACCCACGCCAAGCCCCTCCGCAGGTGAGCTCACCTTTGCCTCTCAGGAGCCTCCTGCAGGCGCCCAGCCCCACCCTCCCCACGCACTCAGCCTTCTGCTTCCCTCGTACTCCCCGCCCGCCCTGGCCCTCTCTCCACCTGGCGCTTTCCCTCCCTGCGAGTCCTCACTGCTCTGGGCTCCCCGGCCTGCTCTCGCCTTCTCTCTGCTTCTCTCATGGTTCTCGTTCGTTCTTCTTTTCTCGGCTCCTGCTGGCGTCCCCGTGACGCCGCCCTTACAAGCCCAGTCTCAGCCCAGGTGAAGCCCATCTACCTAGGCCCACACCCTGCTCCAGGTGCCGCCATCAGGCGTGTGTTCAGGACCGCAGGGATCCGTCATCTCTCCTCATGGCCGAGGGCAGAACAGCCTGATGCTTTTACCTTCCCCTCCACATGGAAACACCCGTCTTACTAGTTATTGCATGAATCTCATTCATATGCTATAAATAAATCTCATTTTAACTTTGTGCCCACAATGAAGGCATAGATGTTGTAGGGTAAGGAAAAATGTCAGGCTTTTCTGCCCTCCCGCCATCAGGATAGATGACGGAACCCTGCGGTCCTGAACACATGCCTGATGGCGGCACCTGGAGTGGGATTCACCTGGGCTGAGACTGGGCTTTTAAGGGCGGCGTCACGGGGACGCCAGCAGCCGCAGAAGCCGAGAGAGAAGCCAAAAGAGAAGAAGCCCGAAGCAGAAGCAGAGAAGGCCAGAGAGCCCAGATAGAGTGAAGATTTGCTGGGGGCTGGGAGGACTGCCAGCCTCCCAGCCCCCCAGCACCCCTGCCTGCCACGTACCCACTGAACCCCAATAAAAGACCTGCAAAAACCCACTGAGGACTCTGACTCCTCCTTTACCCGGTCTGCATGGAATCAGAAAACGTGCCTGTGGCCTGTCCTGCCCTTTACAGATGTGATCTGTCCTCACACACGTGCACATTCAGACCCTGAAGAAGAAGCATTTCTGCCAGGAATGAAAAAATCTTAACATGAAAGTACTTCGGTGGAGATTCCTCTATGTCTGATGGTTCTTACACTCTCGCATGTGCTTTGCCTATGAAGCAGCCACTGCGGGAAGAGGCCACAGCCACCCCACACCTCCAGGGGCAGGAGAGCCGGGTGGGAATTGTTTCTTTAAAAGCTTGCCCTCCTTTTTATAACTACTTTGTGTTCTGTTACTTAAGTAACTCAGCAAATGCTCTTCGTTCCCCCCAATTAAATATATGGTGTGATTTATTCTTTTTAACAGAAATTTCGAGAGAGACTAAGTCAAAAGAGGCCTTGTCAGTCAGGCAGACTTGTTCCCCAGGGACACAAAGAGGCACCAGGAATGACACTCCCCACTTAACAAGCACCTGGAAACAGAAACCTGTCATTAAAGTATTAATTCTGCTCGGCCAGAAGCCCATCTCCTCCAAGCCCACCTGCCCTCAGGCTTCTCCGGGTAAAGTGAGCAGCAGCGGAAGAGCCAAGAGCCGGCTCAGTGAAATGCAGCAGGTGCAGGAGTTAATGCACGCCTGGGGCAGAGTGGGGGTGCCCAAGCCTGCCTGCAGGAGGCCAGGGTGGGGGGAGGGAGGGGGTGGCTGGAGGGATTAGGGCCTGGAGACCGATGACCCGGGACCTTCCCAAAGCTGCTGGAAGTGTCTATTGCAATCACCTCTTCGCCTCATATTTTAGTCCCATTAAACGCAGACCCCGGGGAAAGAACCCAGATGCAAGCCAGGCAGATCCGTCCTGACTTCTGGGGAGCTCAGCCTTGTTCTGGATGAGATTTGCATCCTGGAAGGGCTACCTGGGAAAGTACCAGGCATTGCTGGCAAAGCAGGAGCTGTGCCTTGATAGGGGCACCAAAGTGTGGCTGCAAGTCTCAGCCCAGGGGCTGCAGGAGCAGAGCTGGGGGAGGGGCACCCGGCTCAGATCCTGCCTTCCTGCCTTCCTTCCCTCTCTTCTCTCTTTCCAGAGATGCGGGGGGTGAGAGGACTCACCAGAGACAGAGCAGGGAGCAGAACAGGCAGCTGTACTGAAATCCACTGCTGAGGGGAGTGGCGGGGAGACAGGAGAGGTCTGCTGCGCCATGTGGGTAGCTCCCTGGCCGGGGATCACACTCGGGCTGCTGCGGTGACAGCCTGAGACTAACCCCTAGGCCACTGGGGAGGCCCTCACTGGGATTCTAGATGTCAGACAAAGCCTCCTGAAAAGGCAGGTCTCTTTAGGACATGAAGGATGACCTGGGAGGCTGGGACATCCAGGGCAGAGTGTGTGTGTGTGTGCGTGCGCGCACGTAGGTGCATTTACGAGTATGGGTCACAGGTGACAGGTAGCTTATCTCCCAGGAGTGCTTTCGAGCTCTTTGATATGATTCTGAGTCGCTTAGCCTCTGACTCCACTTTCCTATCAGCAAACGACAACGGATTCAGTTTCCCGTTTCACCCAAGAGTTTAAATAATTACGGTGACGTCTCTGAATGGATGATGCTGATGGCAACAGATGCCACGAGGACATTCAGGATTATAGTTGGACAGTAAGAGCTCAAGGCAGCTTAGCTAAAATGCACAACTCATGTTCATTACAAACACACTCCATGTTTAATCAACATACGACACAAACTCAGCTCTCCAAACCCAACGTTCCCTTTGGAAAAGTCACTATACTTTAAAAAAACACTTTTAACAAAGTTTCGAGTTTTCATCCCAAAGAGTTCTTAGCGTGGGGATTTCTTTTCATTCAATGGCCACAGGCCTCCGGGGGGGTCTAATGTTCTTCACTGTACACTTTGGTCTACGGTCACCTGCAAACGCCATTGCCCCGCGCCGACGGAAGGAATCCCCACTGACATGGTGCTCGGCGGTTTCACAGAGGTTTGCGTGTGTTGGCCCTATATTTGGAATTATTCAAAGCATCGTACGGCTTTCTCAGATGGACTGAATAGCTGGCTCACGGGCCTGTCCATCCCACAGAGACTCCCCTTGTGCAAGGCCTTACAATTATTTAAAAAATCATTTAGAATTTTCTATGCACTTTACTACTTCCTGGGCAGCAAAGAGACAGAGAGGTGGCGCTGGGGCACCCTGCACCCCAGGATGGGGCTCTCAGCCCAGGGGGAGGTCGTGACTGGCCTCCTTGCAACAGCACCCAGGGTGGCCAAGAGGGTCAGTCCCTAGGTAGCCTGTGATGGCAACTGAGGCAAGTTCCCCAACTGTGGGTAGGGCAAAGTATTTAAGTATAAACTGATTACAAGCCGCTTTGCTGTTCAGTTATTTTGATATCTGCAGTTTCTTTCTTCTAGGAAAATATTTCTTTGGGGTAACGAGAAGGGGGTTCTAAGCTGACTGCACCGGGCACCAGGCCCAGGGAGGTTCCTGACCCTCTTCTCCCCGCAATCGCCCTGCACTGCTAGAATTACTTTGAACCCATGAAGACCCAGCCACGAGATGCGGCCATCACCTACGACTGGCGTGGAACTTGAGTGGGGAACACTTTCAAACACCCTAAGTTGGCATTTTGGTCAAACAAACCAAAAGCTGAAAAAAATGCATATGCCTGCAAGCCCCCTCTATGGGGGTTTGCTTGTTTTTGGCATTTTAGTCAAGAGCTACAAGTCTTTTCTTCGTAAGATAAGGATTTTTTTTTCCTCTTCTGGCCCTCTCTGGTATTGCATTTGAGGAGCATTTTCCCAAGAGACTGGGCCGGCTGCGAGATTGGGCGAGCCACTCGGTGTCACAGGCGGAACTGTGCCTTCCCTGCTTTTGGGGTAGGTGGGGGCAGTGGGGGTGCAGTGCTCCAGAGAAGACAGTTCCAGGGCCACCAGGATACAAACTCACCCCAACTCCTGGTGGTTCTATCCCCGCCCCCTCTCTCTGCCCTCCCAAGTCTGCCTCTCTGTTCCTCTGACCTTTCTTGAAGTCTTGAGAAAGTGGCTTCTTCTACCCCCACCATGGCTGCAAACTCCAGGGCTGGGTGGAGGAAGCTACCTGCCCCCCTGGGCTGCCCTGAACCCCACAGACCTCCTTGGGGTACCAAGGAGAAGTCCTGGGTCACCTGCTGGGCTGGGTGAGGAAGGAGTCGGCCCAGAGTGGCCAGGCCATCCTAAGCTCAGCTGTCTGCCACCAGCAGGAGAAGGCGCTTCAGGCCTGGCTGAGCGCCCTGCAGAGCACCAGGGCCGAGCAAGAGCCAGCCGCCCCTCTAATGCCAGGGAGAGCATGGACTCCAGGTCCAGGGGAACTAGAAAGGGGTGGGACAAGGAGCTTCCATTCACCCCATCCGAAAGGTCGCCTGGGTGAGGGGTGCAGGACAGGCGGGACACCCGAGGGGCGCGCTCACTCAGTTCCCTGCCCCAGGGCGTTCCCCGGGACTGTCACCAGGACTGTCCTCTGGGCAGGGCGCTCTGACCTCTTCACACTTCGGTCCCTTCCCGGCTGTAAACGACTAGGCGGAAACCAGCGGCCGACGATGGGTGGCCGGCGGCGAAGGCAGGCGTGGGGCCGGGCCCTGGGGGCTGTGGACGGCGACCGCCGCGGGCCTCCCGAAGGACATGTCGCTGGGCAGCCCCCGGGGACGGTGCCGAGGCCGCCGGCCAGCGCGCCCATGGCGGAGGCGAAGCTGGAGAAGCAGGCGGCTGCCGCGGGCGCGGGCGGCGAGGGCGGGGGGTCGCGGCAGGCTGCGCCCTGGGCCTCCGGCTCCTGCTCCAGGGCTCCTGCCTGGCTCCATGCTCTTGGGGGTGCCGCGCCCCCCTCGGCCCTGCGCTTCCTCCTCCTCCTGAAGTTCCCGTTGTCGAACATCTTCTCGCAGTTGGGGTCCAGGGTCCAGTAATTGCCTTTCCCTGCGGGGGAAGAGAGGATCCAGCTCAGAGACCTGGGATTGGAGGGCGCAGGGCGTGCACGCGAGGAGAGACCCCCGACCCCCAGGACGTCAGCCATCGCCCCCCAACAGCGGGGTGTCACTTGTCCGGGGCCGACCGTCACCGCCACGCCTGGAATAATGTGGTCACCCCAGAAAGGCCAGGGAAGGGCGGCCCGGGAGTCCCGAGCCCCGCGCTGGTGCAGACCTGAGTGGGGGGCGCAGAGCCGGACAGAGCAGGCCCCGCGCCCCTCGGGGCGCCCACAGGCAGACCCCAGCGCTTCCCACAGCCGCATCGCCCCTGCCTCCCCGCGTTACAGCAAAGGACACGGAGGCGCCGAGAAACGAACCCCAGCGTGGCGCCGCTGGTCCGGGCTCCTGCGCGGGGTGTGCGCGCAGAGGCTGGAACCCGGGGCCACGGGCGGAATCGGGGCGCCCGCAGCGCCGGGGGAGGCGGCCTGCTCCCCGCGCGTCTCTCCGGCCCGGCCTCGGCCCCGGCCCCGGGTTGGGGCCTCTGCGGGGCAGGGAGCGGCTGGCGCTGGGGGCTGGACGGCGCCCGCCCCTTACCTGGGTCGTCCTCCTGCCGCGGCACCTTCTTGAAGCAGTCGTTGAGCGACAGGTTGTGGCGGATGGAGTTCTGCCAGCCCGCCGCGCTGCGCGCGTAGAAGGGGAAGTTGCCGGCCACGTACTGGTAGATCTGGCTGAGGGTCAGCCGGCGCCGCGGCGCGCTCTGGATGGCCATGGCGATGAGCGCCGAGTACGAGTAGGGCGGCCGCACCAGCCGCAGCAGCTCCTGCGGGCCGGGGAGGCTCAGCCAGGCGAGGTCGGCGCCCGCCGGGCCGCCCGCGGCGCCCAGCAGCGGGCCGGGGCCGGGGCCCAGGAGGGGCGCGGGCGCGCAGGGCGCGGGGCCGAGCGGGGGCGCGTCGGGCCACAGGCGGGAGCCGACGGCCGCGGCGCCCAGGTCGGCGCGCGAGTAGGGCGCGGGGAGCCGGGACGCCCCGGCCGGGCTGTGCGGCGTCGGGCCGCCCCCGGGGCGCTCGCAGTACGCGGCCATGTCCCGCCGCTGAAGTTCCCCCGCGACCCGCCCGGCTTGGCCGGCTGCGCGCCCAGGTGCGGCTCCAGGCCCGCCCCTGCTCTTTAAATGCCGGCGGCAGAGCCGCAAGGGGGTGGCCGCGCTGACCCCCTCCCCCGGCAGCCGCGGAGGAGCCTCGTCTCGTCCCGCCCCGTCAGCTTTCTGCCCCGCCCTGGTTTCAAAGCGCCCCTGGGCGCAGGCCGCTCCGTGCGCCCCCACGGGGACCCGAGCCCGAGCCGCGGGAGCTGCTGCCCTCAGCGCCCGGTCCCCGGGCTTGCACCGGCCCTGACCTCGCGGGGTTTTTGCACACCACAGCCCGGGCTCTGAGCACGGCAGGCGCCCAGAGGTTGTGGTGGAGCCTGAGCTAAGCACGGCTTCTTGCTGGCCCACGGGGATCCTGGCCTGCGGGATCTGGAACTTTCTAGCTTTTTTCTTTTTCAAATCAGAATCTAGTGCAGCCTGGGCTTCCCTGGTGGCGCAAGGGGTTGAGCACAGCACGATGAAGCTGTCCACAGCCTCTGCAGCACGAGTTCGATCCCCGGGCAGGGAGCTACCCACAGGGCGCAGCAGACCTCTCCGGTCTCTCTGCTGCTCCCCTCAGCAGTGCATTTCAGTTAGTCCGCCTGTTCTGCTCCCCACTCTGTCTCTGGTGAATCCTCTCACCCCCCACATCTCTGACCTGTGCCCCAGCTCTTGTATGCATAAATAAATAAATCTTAAAAAAAAAAAGGAATCTAGTGCACGTGTGAGCGTTCTCAGGTACTGTCATGTCTCTCCAGCGTCTTTTTTTCTAGAACATCCTCTGCCTCTCCCTGTCCCAAGCTCATTTTTCTTGGGGAATTTGTCCTGAGACCCCTCAAAAGATGCCCAAAACTACGGATCGTGCCGAATTCCATATACACTTTGTAATATTTTCCTATGCATATATACCTGTGATAAAGTTTAATTTATAAAGTAGGTGCCTTGAAAGATCAATAGTGATAACTAATAATACAAAAAAGTAAAATAACAGACAGTAACCCTCAGAGTCACTCTTGGGCGGGGCATCTAGTTCAGAGGGTGCTTCCGCCCTTGTTTTTTGAGGGGCTCCGCACTGTCTTCTGCAGCAACTGCACCAGTTTACACCCCGTCTCAGTGTGGGGGCCCCTTTCTCCACACCTTCACCAACACCTGCTGTTCCTCGTCTCTTTGGTAACCACGTTGTGGCCACTGTGAGGTGATATTGGGGTTTTGATTTGCCTTCCCCTGATGCTCCATAGGGATGAGCACCTTTACCTGCGCCAGGTCCACTTGGGCTTGAACTCTGGCCTCACCAATCACTGTGCAGTCCTGTGTGGTTAAGCGGCACCCTCATTTCCCCCCTCTCCCACTGTGACAGCAACTCCCGCGCATCCTCCCCTCCCGGTGGGGGTAAAATGGAATACGGCACTTTGCCTATTTCCTGGCCAATACATGTTATTAGGGTGGCATTTTATAAGGGCACCTCTTCCTTCACTAGTCTTTTTCCCCAATTATTTTATAACAAGCAGGCTTGTGGCTATTGTATGGATAAATAGCAAACCCCAGAAAACTGGGAATGAAGTTGGGGAGGCCAAGAAGACCCCTCTTGGGGGAGTTCCCCCCCAAGTCTCCAGAGTCCAGTCCTTAATGGTGTGGCTGCAGTGCCATCTAGCGGGTGCTCGGCGTCTGTGTCCCCCAGCGGACCCCTCATGAGGACAACCCTAACTCAGGGGCCCCCCGGGTAACAGGAATTTGCTGCTGCTCCTGGGGAAGGTCTGTGGTAAGCAGTCACACAGCCGGAGGGAAGAAATACTGAGAATTCAGCGTCATCAATAAAGATGCTTTTGAATGAAAAATTTCAAAGGCTATAACCTTTGCTCCCTAATGGAAATTTGCCCGGAGGAGGTAGGTTGGTCTTTTTTTTCTTTCCTCTCTTTGTTTTATTGAAGTATTTTTTTATTTAATATATTTTATTTTATATAATTCTTACATCATTTTTCATTTTTGCACAATGTACGCATTTCCTCTCTCCCTCCGCCCCCCACTGTGTCTCTGGTTTAGAGTTGCTTGTTGATTTTGATTTTTTCTTTATTATAATTAGTCTTTTTCCTGGTCCTTTGTTGCATCCATATTTGTGTTAAAAGTTCTAGAGGCTGCTTTCCTGAGAATTGCATAGAATCATCTTCAACAGTGTAGTGAATACCTAGGGCTTTTTTTCTTTTTTTCTTTCTTTTTTTTTGAGAGAAAGGCGTGTTGTGGTGAGACACCATGAGTAGCCTGGTGTGCACTATTTCCCCCTGAGCCAGGAATGTCACAGTGTACCTGAGATGAGTGGAGGATAAACACGTCTAAGACTGTATCAAGACCTCTTCTCTGGATCAATTCATTACTGTTCTCTTGTAAGTATTACTGCCATGTCTACTGAAATGCCCACAAATCAGATGCCTCACTTGGCAAATATCCAGAGTGAACTCATCCACGCCACCAGCTTCTGGAAGGCTCCAGTACCTGCAGAACCCCAGTCGGCCCGACCACCCTCCCAGCCTCTGGGCACTGCCCCCCTTCTTGGAGGGCCCATAACAACGGATGAGCTGTGCCTGGCTTTGATAAAGGCGAATATATATAAAGTTTTAAATTAAAGGCAATCATTCCTATGCACTGTTTTGTGTCTAGATACTTCATTCAACATTAAAAACCATCCATTCTTGGGCCTCCTCTGGTGGCGCAGGTGGTAGAGCGCAGCGCTGTGAAGCTGTCCGCAGCCTCTGCAGTGCCGGTTCTATCCCGGCCGGCTGGCAAGGGTCCCACAGGGCGCAGCAGACCTCTCCTGTCTCGCCCACTGCTCCCCTCAGCAGTGTATTTCGTCCATCTGCCTGTTCTGTTCCCCGCTCTGTCTCTGCTGAATCCTCTCACCCTCCTGTGTATCTGGCCTGTACCCGGGTTCTTGTATAAATAAATAAATCTTAAAAATAAAAATCCATTCTTATCCTTGTAAGTACTCACAGCTCATTCATTTTTTTCATCTGTGATATACTCCATTGTGTGACCATCCCATAGTTTATCTCCGTTTCTCTTATTGGTGGATATTCCTGTCGTTTCCAGCACTTGGCTATTGCGGGGCTGCTGGACATCCTACCCAAATCTTTTGGTGACGATACATGTAACTTTCTAGGAGTAGAATTACTTGCCTTGTCATAGAACACGAACATGATTAGATTTCTTAGACAATGGAAATGTTCTAAAGTGGTCACACCAGGTCACACCAGGTCACAGACCAGTGCCTTCTCTTTGGCCCTTGCTGTGTCTTTCTGATACACACACCTTGGGTGTGTGGTTAGTACAAGGCTTTGTCTTCGGGCTGTAGCAGTGAAGTGTCCTGCCCAGACCCTGCACAGTTTGATTGGCAGTGGGATCTGTTTTGCTGGATGGTGTCACTGAATTTCCAATTTCTGACATTTTAGTCACCGAGAGCTCCTATTTCTGAAACTAGAGCTTCTTTTTATAGCCTGCCACAGCCGTCTAACAGAGCCCCAGAATCCAGGTTCTGGGGGAAAGTTTTTTCAACATAAGAACAAGAACTTTAGCAAAAGGGAATTGTAAGACTCAAGAGTCTAGAGGCAAATGTCTTCAGGACATAACTCACAGCCGTTGTCCCTTCAGCACAAGGGAGAATGAGAGGGAGCACGTTTCTGGCAGACCCCTCCCTGCAGTGGTGGGGTGCTGTTCCTGCAACAGAGGGAACCCCTCTGTTGCAGGAACCTAGGGTTTGGGATGACCTAGTCTTGAGTCCTTCTCCACCGAGACGTGTAACCAGTCAGTTTGTAGGATGTAGTAACTTGCTCCCAGCAACATGTTAAATCTAAAGCTTTCTAAGGATCATCAAAATTTAAAATTACCATAAAATTACAAGCCCTATAAGCACCTGAGGGTCCTATTCTTAGCATTGCCTGCATCCCCATCCCTGCCATAGCCATCAGCTCCTTTGTCCCTGCTTATCTAAGCTTTAAAACCTGTGAAAAGTTCCAGTCTTTGCAGGACGATTACTGAACAATTACCGAAAGCAGCTATCTGCCTATTCCTATAAAATAATGGGCCTACATACCCATTAGATCAAGACCTCCCCGAGATAAGACTCAAAAATTGTTTCACCGTATTAAGTTCCAGGAGAATAATTGCATGTGGGAACCAAAAATCTGCCAGCTGGGTATCTGTAACCTTCTATTAGGGAGAGGTGTAATTCCCAGACGCTCGTGTGTCATGGAAGAGAAAATGAGCAGAGACAACCCCCCTTGTGCTTCCTCTGATTCCCCTGCAGGGCACAGCAGGCATGGAGTGGGGGACACCTTCAGTGTCAAGGAAGCAGCTGACACCCCTCCCCAGCACTTAATATCCCAGTTGGGTACTCTGGGGAGTCATAAAGGCATTTTGCCCTGATGGGATGTTCCCTCCGCCAAGCCGAGTCAGCCCCAGGTAACCTGAGCTCAAGATACTTTAATTGATGGCGCAGAGGCCCTGAGAACGAGATTTGAGGTGGATGCGCCGAAAACAGCGCTGCTGCAGCAGACACCCCAGATGGCCAGACGCCACTTTTCAACAGTTCATCACTCAAGGGGGTGAAGCCATCAGGATTCTCAGCAAGTCAAAGCAAGATGGAGACAAAAGTCCTTTCAAGAAGTTCCTTGGGGTTTAGAAAGTGCCTTGAAGGAATCCTGGTTTATTTTCCCAGTACCTTCCTTTAAGACCCAAGATGATCAAGTTACTAATTGCAAAGGACCGCTCCGGCCTAGAAGGACACAGCCACCTTTGAACCTGGTCCCTGAACTTCCTGCCACACGCACGGCGGTGCTTTGCCGGTGGCTCCAGCAGCAGGATCTCCTGATCACGTCTCCCGCCTCCGAAACAAGCACCCACAAGGTTTTATCCCGTAACAGCTTCGTTCCTAGAAGACCCAAGGCCCCAGGCTCCGTCTCTGCATCAGCCGG